TGGTGCCAACGAAAAATCAATGCTTCATTGCCTTTGAGTATAGCAAATCTTTAGCGGTGGAGAGAAAGTATTTATATTTGGCTCGAGACAAAGAGTTAATCGCTCTGCATTATGCTCTTGATAAGCTAGACAATTCGTGATCGTTGCAGACCAAGCGTCGACGACAACACATCTCTATCAGAGAACGGCAAGAATGGTGTTATCTGTGGTCGAGTATGACTTTAAGGTAAGGTGTTGGCGGATCGTCCATACTACGAAATGTCGCACGTCGTGTTGATGGTGCAGCGCATCGACGAGGAGATGTGTAATGCGAGGTGTCAAAAGCAACATGTGCTGCGTTGCCGAAAAATTTGGGAAGCAAGGAATCGTTGAGGTCAGATTTCGCTTTTTTAAGGAGTTTGGTGACATATGTGCACCGGGCAAATAATCCGAGGCTTACTGTATTATAACGCTAACACTGGTATCTCAATCTGTTAGACAGTTACAGAATACTGCACAAGGTCATGATACCCACTTGGGCGACCACCTCGGTTAAAAAATAGCATAACTCAGTACTGGTGATCCAAACGGCAAAGGGGAGAGGCTGGCACTTCTTTGCACATTCCTACAAAACGTGTCATCGGGCTTACAGGTCGCCACACGCATTCGCCTGTCTATCGGCTCCGGTTGAATGTTGGCAGTCCACTGGAATGGATTTTCTTGGTAATCATAATGACAATATGGACCATCTGAAACTTGCTTCGTTGCTGCCGGCAAATACGCTTACGTTAAGAATATCATCTAGCTATTCATCGACAAAGTAAATCGCTAACATGGCTTGCAGATAACCATTGTTTTAAATTGCGATTTGCACCTAACAAAGATATTCTAACGAACCATGTTAAAGGGCCATGCACATCGCTGACCACCCACAATATTGTGTGGTGAAGTATATTTTCCGAAGTTGTCGCGTAAAACAGCCGCGGTGCTGGGGCGAGGTGTTCCTGCTGGCTGCGTTTGCGTAATTGTTTTAGTACATGTCGCTTCTGGCACAATCCCCTTCATCACCGCTACGAAGTAGCTTTAAAATTGGGTGCTGTCAGTGAGATTCGACTTCCTGATATCAGTCCAACTACACTTAAATTTAGCATCAAGGTATAGATCTCGACAAGATACATCGTCGCGTGCCGTACGCAGAAAAATATAGGTGAGAGTCACGGTGTGCAAAAGCAGCATGCAGGAACCTGATGCAACCTACTTAAACATTCAGTGTCTGCAGAGTTAAGATCAAATTGCAGTACTGCTACGTCGGACCGTTTACGTTCGTAGCCAGAAATAGATTAGTATACGTGCTCCATATTTCAATATAAATGTGAGCAAACTTAGTATTTTGTGATCTTGTCAGACTAATT